GGGTATCAGATTGCCTTGGAACTGGAGTTATGGACTGACCATTGTTAGGTGTCATATGGGTGCAGGTAATTGAGCCTGGGTCCTCTATACTAGCAGCCAGGACTTTTAACCACTGAGCAATCTCTACAGCCCCAAATCATATATATACTTTCAAAGGTTCATTTGCTTAATTCTAGGGTTCAAATTTTAATATAGTTTCACTTTCTTAGAAATGAGCCTCCTCATTTTATCATTTATACTGCAAAAACTATTGAATTTACTCAAATAAAATATATAGATGTTAGGTAGGTAGGTAGGTAGGTAGATAGATAGAAGAAGGATGACAGATAAATGATAGATGATAGATAGTAGATAGATTATAGATATAGATGATAGATAGATAGGTAGATAGATACATGATAGATAGATGATTGATAGATAGATATAGATAGATAGATAGATAGATAGATAGATAGATAGATAGATAGATAGATGATAGATGATAGATGATAGATAGATGACTGATAGAAGCTGAGTTTTACTTTTTGTTTTGTCAATTATTAGTATTGTACTATTGTATGCATCAAGCTCATGGGTGCTTGGTGGTTTGTACATTTAGAAGACAAGTAAGTTCCTTCCTTGACATTCTTATCTGGAAGGGAGACACTATTTTTTAGGCTTATTTATTCTATTATGTTCGAAAGATTCATTATAGATCTCTTCTTTTTGTTGTCCTGCAATATTATTATGCTATCATTCTGTAATTCTTTAGATGACTGTTGGAATGAGGAACTGTCTTCATTAGATCACCTGTTGTGATGGTTTGAATGAAAATGTCCCCCATAGGCTCCAAGTATTTGGACATTTTGACCCCAGATGATGGCGATGTTTTGGGAGGTTTTAGAAGGTGTGGCTATCCTGGAGGAAGCATGACACTGGGGGTGGGCTTAGTGAGTTCATAAGCCTTGCCAGATCTCCAGTCTCTCTCTTGCTTCCTGTGCCTGCATGATGATGTGAGAGCTTAGCTTCTGCTGCTCCTGCTCCAGCCACCTCCACACACCATGCCTCCCTGCCATGACGGACTGTAATTCCCCTGGAACCAAAGGCTCAAATAAACTCTTCCTTCTATAAATTGCTTGGGTCAGTGTTTCTATCACAGCAACAGAAAAGTGACTAATACACCTATAAAAATAAAAACTGACATTTATTTACATATGTTTATGTATTTATTTATCTTTGAGAGTTCACACATGTATACTGTGTATTTTGGTCATGTTTACCCCTCACTACCTCCTCTTACTCCTCACAGACTGCTGCCCTTTACCACTTCCCAACTCTATGCCCTCACTTTTTTTTTTTTAGATAATCCACTAAGTCTGATTAGTTCTATCCCTATGTACATGGACCGTGGACAACCTACCAAGGGCTACATCCCTGGGGAAATCTATCTCTTCCCCAGCAGCTATCAACTGCCAACGGCTCTGAGGAGGGGTCTTTCTTAAGTCCCTCCCCATCCATGTTTGAATGTTGACTGAGTTGACCTGTGCAAGTCTAATTTAGACCAACAGAGCTGTAGTAGGTCATGGGTGTGTCAACTTTGTCGTGACCAGAAGGCACTATTTTAAAGTAAGACTTCCTGTCATCCAACTCTTATAAACTTTCTACACTTTTGTAATGGCTCCTGAGTAGGAGGAGGGAATATGATATATATTTATCAGCACAGGCTTACTCTTGTAATCCTTCAAGAAAAAAATATACAGAGCATAGTTCTTGTTAATCAACACTAAATAAATATTTACAAATTAAATTCCATAATGTTTCAGTTTTTCCTCACATAAATAAATCAAATCATATAGCATGTTATTATTTATAAATCAGTTGTAACTACTTAGAGGTGACTGGTATACTAACGAGCTGAAATGTGGTGGTCATTTCACAATGCATAGCAACACAAAAACTTGCATGCATTAGGTGTGTGCAAATTTTCATGTACTAAGTCAATATAGGTGTTCAAGGATGAACTAGCATGCCATGTTCCAACCGTTGACTGTTGCCAATTCTGTAAGGGGTGGGGGTATCTCTACAGGTTCTTTACATTCTTCCTTTGTTTATATTTGAAAACATTACAATTCACCCAAATCTGCACAGAAAAACAGAGCATGTGATGATATCTAAAGTGACAATGTTCTGAATCTCTCAGAAAAATCTTACAGTTTAGCACTACAGTTTTATCCTCCCAGTTTCTATAATCTGACCAGCATCAATCTTGTGTTGGATGCTTCTCTGTCACCAGCTAAAATGATTCTTATAACTCACTTAAGGTATCAGAAGTGTCCATGTTCTCAGTTTCAGAGATTACCTCCATAATAAATTCTGTTGACTAATACATTGTCCACTTTCTGAAGTAATCTTTGACATAAAAAGAAAATAACCATTAGCTTCCTACTGGCATTTCCCTGAGCAACATGCTCTTCGTTGGTTGGTTCACTTCCTTCTTTTAACCTGAAAGTACACCAGATGTACTAAGTGGCTGACAGTTTCACTTTTCTACAGCTGGAGAAAGCTGGCACAGGTTCAGGATATCAAACTCTGAAACCCACTTAAATCCAGTTTATTGAATGTTTGCAGAGAATCTCAAGCCCCTAATCTAAGTGCAGCCTCACTGATACAAATCCTCCTTTAGTGAATGAATTCTTTTCTTGGAATGGATTGTACTGTTTGGCAGTTTTGACAATTCCCTCATTATGTCATCCCAGTCAGGAGCAAGAATCTGTTGACTCCTATCAGGGATATCTACTCACGAAGTTATTGTGGTCTCAATGGAACCACTAAAGAATGCTAACAAATAGTGCTTTCTTTTCAACTATATCCCTTAGATTCTCATTGCTAATGTCTAAGGAAATGCTCTGGTACCAAGGCAGCAGACAAACATCAATGAGAGAAAGTGAAATAATTTGGTCTTATGCAGAGATTGCCATGACATTAAAGGTTAAGGGTAAACTAATGTCTTCTTTGAGAGCAAACACAACCTTCTTCATATCTTGTTTAATTTTTAGAATCATATCTTCACTCATATAATCAGTGCTTCATCAACACAGAATGATTTGAAATGTGTCCCTTTTTAACACTTCCTTCATTAATCAAAAATGAATTAGGGCCCTTGTACGAAGAAAATTCCTCATCTGTATATAAGCCACAAGTGAGAAAACATGTATATA